CCCAAAATCTCATATCCACCCAAACTAAGCTTCATAAATAAAGGAAAAATAAAATTTTTCATGAACAATCAAGCACTCAGAGATTTCATCACCACCAGGCCTGCTTTACAAGACCTTCTCAAAGAAGCACTACAAACAGAAAGGAACAACCAGTATCAGTCATCCCAAAAACTTACCAAAATGTAAAGAGTATCTTCATAATGAAGAATTTACATCAACTAATGGGCAAAATAGCCAGCTAGGATTAAATTACAATATTGAACTCACAGATTTTAATATTAATCTTAAATTTAAATGGATTCAGTGCCCCAGTTAAAGACACAGGCAAATGGAATAAAAAGTTAAAATCTATTGGTATGTTGTATCCAGATCTAACTCACAACCACACACAAAGACTCAAAATAAAGGGATGGAGGAAGATTTACCAATTAAATGGAGAGCAAAAAACAAACAAACAAAAAAACCCGAAAACAAAAACAAAAACGAACAGGAATTTTAACTTTTGTCTCTGACAAAATAGACTTTAATAGTAACAAAGACCAAAAGAAACAAAGAAGGACATATAATGGTAAAAGGATCATGTAACAACAGGAGTTAATGATCATAAATATATATGTACCCAATATAGGAGTACCCAGATACATAAGACAAGTTCTTATTGATTTATAAAGAGATTTGGACTCCCACACAATTATAGCGGGAGATTTTGACATCGCATTGTTAATATTTGACGGATCAATCAGATAGAAAATTAATAGGGACATCTATGATTTGAATTTAGACCTGGAATAAGTAAACTCAGGGAATATTTATAGAATTCTCCACCCCAGGTCTATAGAACGTACATTTTTCTCAGTATCATATTACACCTATTTTGAAAGTGACTACATAATTGGAAGTAAATTACTCTTCAGTATTTGCATAGCATCTCACAGACTTAAATGAAATATTGGTTGGCTGTTTTTTTACTTGTTTGTTATTTTCTTGCCTTATTCCTTCCTGTCTCTGTTGTTAAGTACAATTATTGGCATAAAAGAGGTTTTTAATACCTTTTTAAGATTGCATTCCAGCCTGGGCAACAGAGCAAGAATCCTGTTCTCTCTCCCCCTTTCTTTCTTTAAAATTAAATTAAATTAAATGATTATTTTATTTTATTTTATTTTTTTATTTAAAGAAAGAGGGAGAAAGAAAAAGGGGGAGAGATAATTATATATTATGTATTATAATGTTAGGCATGTTATATAGTAAATAAATTTTATACATAATCATACAAAATAATAATTTACAAAATTTATTTGGGAAATAATGTTTACAATGCAGATCAACAAATATTTACTAACTATAATAATCAAAAGTTCTTACTGAATGACAAAAATAGGATGTGAAGTCCAATAAAAAAGAATATGAAGAGGCAAACAAATGGCCAACCAACATATGAAATGTTCTTACTTTAATTTGCATTTCTCTGACATATTTTTACTCCTCAATAGATCCTAAAATTAGAAAGAGTTGAAATATTCCATTGTTGTCAGGTTCATTGAGACAAGAGTTCTTCTATAAATTGCTGGTGAAAATATGAATAGTTCCAGATGACTAACAATCTGACAAAATATAAAAATTTATTAAACACATGTATTTTAACTCAATAAATCCCACTCCTGGACACCTATGTCATGAAGTGAAAGCCATTAATTTTTTAAAAATGAAGCCAGGCGCGGTGGCTCAAGCCTGTAATCCCAGCACTTTGGGAGGCCGAGGCGGGTGGATCACGAGGTCGAGAGATCGAGACCATCCTGGTCAACATGGTGAAACCCCGTCTCTACTAAAAATACAAAAAATCAGCTGGGCATGGTGGCGCGTGCCTGTGGTCCCAGCTACTTGGGAGGCTGAGGCAGGAGAATTGCCTGAACCCAGGAGGCAGAGGTTGCGGTGAGCTGAGATCACCCATTGCACTCCAGCCTGGGTAGCAAGAGTGAAACTCCGTCTCAAAAAAAAAAAAAAAAAATTTAAAAAATGAACTTTGTATAAACAGATATATATATTGAAGCACTGTTGATACTGGCAATAATATAAAATAGTTAAGAAAATGTACCTCAGGTTAGAAATGATAGAGCAAATTAGATTACAACTACATAATGGAATACTATGGAGCCATTAAAAAGAATGAGAAGTTAAGCAGTTGTTTTGGAGAGATTTCCAGTAGATATTTGGTAAAAAGAAAGCAGAAAGTATAAATCTGATTCCATTATTATAAAATAAACAATGATGAAATGCTATATTTCTAAATAATATTTACGAATATATTATTTATATTCAGAAGGATATGATCACAGTGAAAAATGAAAGTGGCTCCATATTAAGTTATTAGTGTGGGATAGCTGTGTAGTCAGACTGGGGCCATATGACAAATTCTGGCCAATGGACTGTGAGTAAAAATGACTCATGCACTTAAGAAATGATGTGCCTTCTGCCTGTAATCTCAGCACTTGTGAGGTTAAGGCAGGTGAATCACCTGAGGTCAGGAGTTCGAAACCAGTTTGGCCAACATGGTGAAACCCCATCTCTACTAAAAATTCAAAAATTAGCTGATCGTGGTAGCACACCTGTAATCCCAGCTACTGGGGAGGCTAAGGCAGGAGAATCACTTAAATCTGGGAGGCTGAGGTTGCAGTGAGCTGAGATTGTACCACTGAACATCCAGCCTGGGTGACAGAGTGAGACTCCATGTCAAAAAGAAAAGAAAAGAAAAGAAAAGAAGGAAAGGGAAAGGGAAAAGGAAAGGGAAAGAGAAAAGAAAAGTGCCTTCTGCATCTCTATCTTCCCCTGCCTTGGCAAACCTGAAAGCCACATATTCCAGATGGCATAGCTACAAGCTGGAGGAAGACTGCCAATCCAGGTCAAATATAGCATAAGGAAAATTAAATTTATTTTGTAAGTCTTTCAGATCTTAGCATCTTCTTCTTATGGTACTTATATTAGTTATCCTACTTCAGCTATTTATGTTTGAAATGAGTTGTTGCTAAAACTAAAAACTTAAAAGACAAGCTGTGTATTACTAGGAAACAGGCAGTGAGAAAATTGACATGAGATGAAAGAAAGAAATTGATGTTATTCAGTTGGGGAAAAAGTGAAACCGTCACTTGTGGTAACTTGGGCAGCAGAACAGATCATATGCTTAGCAAAAGAGATTATAAGAGACAACAATTAGAAGTGAATATCAGCTACGGAGACTACTCGAGCTTTGTCAAAACATTATAAGAAAATTATAAACTCAGAAAAAAATTGGCTGATTTGCAAGCAGATTTGAAAAGGAACACAGAAAAAACAGATACTTAAGGCCATACAGGGTTGGGAGAAACTACTTGTCAACCTCAAAGAGTATGAAATGGTAACAACAACAAAAGATTTTAAAGAAAAGTGCCCCATAAACCTCCTTGTTGGCAAAAGCCATCACATTCAGATTTCTCACCCTCAAGCCTGAAATCCTCAAGGCAACTATTATTAAGCTGAAGGGCAACTGTAGAGATGAAAAACCAAATAAATAAAGCAAATCTGAAAACTATGCCTCAAAAATATTTAGGATGTGGTTACTGGCACATGGAACTGAGAAAACAGATAAGAAGCCTACTGCATTTTTAAAGTATTAAGCCTACCAAGATTTTAAACTACATTGTCAAATAAACAATTAGCTTAGACCACTGTGACATTTGGCTGTTCAAGACATGGAGGCTTCTACTTCCCATCAAGAGAGATTTCCATCCTACATAAAACAACTTAGAAATCAGAGAAAATACATGAAACATTGCTTCTTGAGACATCAGAGATGAAGCAATAAAGGAAAATGATCCTTAAGAGATGAGAGACAAACAAGGTGAGCCCTACAATTATCCTAGCTTACAGCCTGGAGAACGTGTTCAGCCAGAGCACAAATGGGGAAATTCAGGTGGAGCATGGCAGGCTCCCTGAGTTGAGGAGACAGAGCTAAAATTTGGAGGGAATACAACATAACTAGATTTTGCAGGATAAAGTACCAGAGAGGAGAGAGCTGCAAACAGAGAGAATTCTAGATATCTGTGTAGGGTTCTTCTCAAGTATTACTCTGAACATTGATCAGCACATGCATGTGACGAAGTACCAAGACTGGGAAAAACCCATTGGAAAGGATTAGATGGAGCAGTCCCCCAAGGTAGAGTGTAAAACCTAATATGCATGTAGCTTTAGTTAGAGTACTCAAAAGGATTTTGTCTCAAGGCAAGAAAAAATTAGCTTCTGACTACATACTGCTATGTTCCAGCCTAATGAAACTTAACAAACTGTTTCTAAATAGTCTTCCGGGCATGGTGGCTTGCGTCTGTAATCCCAGCACTTTGGTAGGCTGAGGCTAGTGGATAGCTTGAGCCTAGGAGTTCAAGACCAGCCTGGCCGACATAGCAAAACCCCATTGATACGGTTTGGCTGTGTCCCCACCTTGAATTCTCATCTTGAATTGTAACTCCCATAATTCCCATGTGTTGTGGGAGGAACCTGGTAAGAGGTGATGGAATTATGGGGGTGGGTCGTTCTTGTGATAGTGAATGAGTCTCCTGAGAGCTGACGGTTTTAAATATGGGAGTTTCCCTGCACAAGCTCTTCTTGTGTCTGTTGCTATGTGAGATATGCCTTTCACCTTCTGCCATGATTACGAGGCCTACATCTCTTCCTTTTGTAAATCGCCCAGTCTCAGGTATTTCTTTATCAGCAGCATGAAAACAGACTAATACAGTAAATGGGTACCAGCGGAATGGGACATTGCTGAAAAGATAACTGAAAATGTGAAAGTGACTTTGGAACTGGGTAATAGGCAGAGGTTGGAACAGTTTGGAGGGCTCAGAAGACAGGAAAATGTGGGAAAGTTCGGAATTCCCTAGCTTTGACCAAAATGCTGATAATGACCTGGACAGAACAGATCCAAGGACTCTTTCTTTCAGCCTCCAACCACCCTCCAATTTCCTTTTGCAACCTCTGGGGCCGTCTTCTCAGCCATCTCCTGCCTCTGGGCCCTGCCAACACCATTTTTGTGGTTATCTCCTTCTTGCCGACCAACCATGAGCTCCCAGATTTGTCAGAATTATTCCACTGACATGGAGGCAGCTGTCAACTGCCTGGTCAATTTGTACCTGCAGGCCTCCTACACGTACTTCTCTCTGGGCTTCTATTTTGACTGCAATGATGTGGCTCTGGAAGGCATGAGCCACTTCTTCAGTGAACTGGTCGAGAAGCGCGAGGGTTACCAGCATCTCCTGTAAATGCAAAACCAGTGTGGCAGCCCCGCTCTCTTCCAGGACATCAAGAAGCCAGCTCAAGATGAGTGGGATAAAACCCTGGACGCCATGAAAGCCGCCATGGCTCTGGAGAAAAATCTGAACTAGGGGATCTTCATGGCCTGGGTTTTGCCCACAAGGACCCCCATCTCTGTGACTTCCTGGAGAGTCACTTCCTAGATGAGGAAGTGAAACTCATCAGGAAGATAGTTGACCATCTGACCAACCTCCATAGACTGGCCTGCCCGGAGGCTGTCCTAGGCGAGTTTCTCTTTGAAAGGCTCACTCTCAAGCACAACTAAGAGTCTACTGCGCCTAGCGGCTTCTGAAGGACCCCTGGCAAAGTAACAGCGCTTCTTCCTAAGCCTCTCCCTCCAGCCACTAGGCAGTTTTCCAACTACCCTAACAAGCCTTGGACCAAATGGAAATAAAGCTTTTTGAAGCAAAAATAATAAAAAAATTTTTTTTTAAAATCAGTCTTGCAACTCATATAATTGATAACATGGTATTAAAAAAAAACCCGATTAGTCAAAACTAACACATAAATGACATCAATTATAGCATTAGTAGACAAGGTCATTAACACAATTATAACAGAATTCCAAATGTTTAAAAAGCTAGAGGAAAAATTGAACATGTTAATTAGAAACATGAAAAATATAAAAGAGAACCAAATTAAACTTCTAAAGATGAAAACTACAATGACCCAAACAAAAAATACTCTGGATAGGATTAATGGCAGATTAAATACTGAAGAGGAAAATATTAGTAGTGAACTTAAAGACACAGTAATAGAAACTATCCAAAATGAATCACAGAGAAAAAGAAAATACTAAAACACAAAAGGACAAAGTTTTAATGAACGGTGCAACAACTTCAAGCAGGCTAATATACACATAATATATACATTTTAGTGCCCAAAGTATAAAGGGGGAGGACAGAAAATACTGAAGGAATACAGTCATCCCTTTCTATCTAAGAAGATTACTCTATCTAGAAATCCCTGCAGATACCAAAAATCCAAGAATCCTTAAGTGTCTTATATACAATGTTACAGTATTTGCATATAACCTATGCAGATTTTCCCAAACACTTAAGTTATCTCCATATTATAAGTAATGTACATTGTATTAGACATATAATATAATATAATGTAATGTAAATACTATGTAAATAGTTGGTATACTCTATTGTTTTTCATTTGTATTCTTTTTTATTGTTCTTTTTATCATCAGTTGACTGAATCCTTAGATGTAGAACCTATAGATATGGAGGGCCAACTGTGATGCCAAAATAATGACCAAAACAATTTCAAATTGGATGAAAAAACTATAAGCTTGCAGATCCAAAAAGCTCAAAAAATGAGGAAAATTACACCAAGAACTATCATAATTAAATTTCTTAAAAATAATAACAGAAAAAAATCTTAAAGCAGCCAGAGAAGACACATTACCTACAAAGGAACCAAGATAAGGATGAGAGCGCATTTTCATTAAAGTTATGAAAGTGAAAAGACAGTGGAGCAACATCTTTAAATTACAATCATGCATCATTTAACAATGGGAACACAATCTGAGAAAAGCATTCTTAGGAGATTTTGTCATTGATTTCAGTCCTATAATTGGCACAATATTATTTCTAGCTGCACACATGTGCCATGAAGACTGGAGAGAGGCCAAATTATTTATGTTCTCCTCGCTGACCCTGAGAATGTGTACCAGCACTTAGGAGGCTAGAAAGGACTTGGTGAAAAGTAAAACCTGGGACAGACTTTAAAATGTACTGAATTTGAATGTGCTCCCTTACCAACACAGATTAATTTACAGATGTCAGAAGACTTACTGGCTTGAGGTGTTTGAGCATGACTTCTGTCTAATGGTTGGCTGAGCCTACACAACTGCAGGGGCAACCCCTAGGAATTCAGTCTTGAAAGTCAAAATAAGAACTAAAAACACACAAACAAAAAAACTAAGCTAGCCAGAGATATTTGTGACCACATGCTGTAGGGGAGTCAGATGTCACAAATTTACCCTGGAAAATTTATTAAACAAAGAACAAACAAACAAAAGGGAACAACAGCAACAACCATTAGGGCAAAAATAACAGCATCTAGAGTTGCTGCAAACAATGATAACGTGCAAAGAAACTGAAAAGTGTTATCCATTCAGGAAAAATACAAGCAATCAACAGAAACTGTCTCAGAATGTCTCCATGAATTTAGCAGGCAAAGACTTCAAGGAATATGTGATAAATATGTTCAGGGTACTTAAGTAAACTACCTTCAAAGAACTAAAACAGAGTATGGCAACATTGAATCAACAAAGATTTTCAATAAACTTAAGAAAAAAGACAAAGTGAAAAATTTCAAGTTAAAGAGTATAACTGAAAAATTTTAAAAAATCCACTGGAACAGTTAAACATGAGAGTTTGAGGTAGCAGAAGAAATAAATTGATGAACCTGAAAATTAATCAGTAAAATTTATCCCATAAGAACAGAAAGAAAAATATTAAAGAAAAATATTCAACCTCAAAGACACATGAGGTGTGATCAAGATACCAACATACATGCAGTGGCATTTCCTGCAGGACAGTAGAGAGATAAAGATACAGAAAATATATTTCAGGAAGTAATGGATAGAAAATTCCCAAATTTGATGAAAAACATTGAAGCTTATTAAACTCCAAGTAGCATAAATATTCAAAAATCCATATAGACACAAGCTATTGAAAGACAAACAGGAAATCTTGAAAAGTAGGAGGAAAGTGACTCATTATTTACAGTGCAGCATCAATACGAGTGAAGACTCATTTCTCAGTAGAAACATTGGAGGCCGGAAGGCAGTGAAATGTTATATTCAAAGTGCTGAAAGAGGAGTTTGAGACCAGGCTGAACAACATGGCAAAACCCTATCTCTACAAAAAAAATGCAAAAATTAGCTGGCCACGGTGGCACGCACCTGTAGTCCCAGCTACCTGGGGGGCTGAGGTGGGAGAATCACTTGAGCTCAGCAGGTTGAGGCTGCAGAGACTCAACATTGTGCTGCTGTACTCCTGCCTGGGCAACAGAATGAGATCCTGTCTCCAAAAATAAAAATAAAAATAAAAATAAAAATAAAAACAATGAAAAACGAAGTGCTCAAAGAGAAAAAGAACTATTAACCAAGAAGTCTACATCCACCAAAACTGTTCTTCAGAAAGGAAGCCAAAGTAAAAATATTCTCAGCTAGACAAAGTATTTGCTCCTCACAGACCTGCATATGCATAGTAAATATATTATTCTTTACTATATTACATATATTGTATTGTATAATTAAAGCTTTATAGCAATACTATGAAAATATTGAACAATTGAGAAAAACGGATTTCTAACCCAGTATCTTTGTTAGCACATCTTTGAAGGTTTTATACATTCTTTTCCAGTCTTTGTCCATTTGCATATACCTTTCACCTACAGTAATAATAGTGTAAAGGTATGTGCTACAATTTATTCACTTTATGTATATTATCACTTTTAGTAATTGTAATAATATTTCATAGTGTATAAAAGTCATTGTTTAGTTATTCATTTTCCCAATTTGGGACATTTTCACTGTTTTTAAAATTTTGCTATTATGAATATCTTCATACATAAAACTTTTCCCTCATTACATTTTTTTCTAGCATAGATTCTAAGTAATGTGTTTACTGGGTCATTTTATATCTTAACTTTCTTGTCTCTGTCACTCCCACCACTTTATTCACTATTTTTCTTTTTGGATCAAATGCATACAAGACTCACTACTGCTTTTGGCCTACCATCATTTCTGTTTCACCGCTTCCACTTGAACTCCAACCTGTCTGGAGTTCTAGAATATAAGGCACTCGTTTTTCTATCTTAGAGCCTCTGTCTGAAGGCATGGAACAAACTCATTTAAAGAAAAATATATTATTTCCTTTAAGAAGACATTCTACATGTAATCAACTAAACTACATAGAACTTAAAAGCAGGAAAAAATTACGCTAAGAAAAGAAGTGGTGATAAATCTAATTATCAAGTGGAGTATAAGGTAGTTTACCAGGAAGTTTTCATAAAGGAAATTACCTCATGTTGTGGCTTAAAATAGATACTAGCCCTAACGTGTTGAAAAAATAAAATAAGCAACAAAATGTACATGTTTATTGCCTGAGATCTTTTCCTTTTATGAACTCTGTTTGGGACTTGGCAAACTTGATTAAGTATGTTGACTATGGAGTGACTTGGAACCAAAGGCAGAGCACAGGATCAGATTGTCCAGGGTTAAATTCCTGACTCTACCACTTACTAGCTATGGGAACTCAGGCAATTATCTAATTTCTCTAAGCCCTAGTTTCTTCATCTATAAATAGGGAATAAGTATACAGATTTCATAGGGTTAAAGTGAGAACTGAAGTGTTCACATCTGTAAAGTGCCTAGCTCAGTAGATATTAATCAACAGCAGCAACAGTAACCTAGTAAAAGTCTTGTACCCAGTGTGATGTAGGCTTCTTCAGGCATAATGTGTTTCATGAACTCTTCCTGGCAACCCTATCTATAAAATATACTCTAAACATAGAAAGTAGTTGCATATGAGAAATCTAAAAATTCTTGTTGAATCACTGGCTATCAGATTTATCATCCACTATGAAAAAAATCCTTCAAATTAATTAAATTAGGTCAAGACTGAAATAAATAAAGCATACCTCACCAGTTTATTATAGGCATTACAAAGGTACCAGCTTATCCTAACACTGTCTTTGAAAGAATGCTTGATTTTGCTTAGCTACTACATGAAAAAGAAAAACAGGTAAAGGGGGGACCTCATAGTCTCTAGTTGTTAAATTCATGATTATTTTGTATTTCTTTGAACAAAAGGGTGATTGATGCAGTACATTTTCTAAGGACTTGAAAAAAAAAGGAAATTATTCCAAGATTAACTATCACAAATTATTTTTTAATTATCAGATGCCAATGGAAAAGTCAATGATTCGCTTTGGGCCCCTTGATTTTACCTAAGTCAGGATTCTAGCTAGCATGAGAATGACTGAGGCTGCAGACCATGGTAATATTGGAAAAAATACACCACTCTTTGGGACCTTGTCATCGTGGGGATTATGGATGCTGGGGGCTCTGGCAGAGTTTGGATCTTTTTTAGCCTTGCAGTCACATTTCAGTGGGGCCCTGACCAGGCAAAGGTGGAAAAGGTGTGTCTTCCTTTTGCCTCTGTAGAATCTCTACTGACGTTGGCCAGACAGCTGCCAGGGACTGATGGTGTGCTTCAGATCTTCCTTCTGTGGCCCGTGAGGCAACAGGCAGCACTTTGCTAGCAGCTAGATGGACATCTTTCAGCAAACAGCAAGACTGTATCCTACTCTGGCTCAGGGATCAGAACCAACCCTGCTGATTTATTTTCAGACGTTGCCAGTGCGAATGGAATTTAAAACA